GAATGAATAGCTAAAACTTATACTTATCAAAAAAACCACATTGTACCTATGACTGGAGTAGCCCAGAAGTTGTCCTGCTACACAGCAATAGCCACACAACATCTCAAACAACACTAATGTATTTTAAAGCAAAATTGTTTCTGGTGCTCATCAAAAAAACAAAATAATACACATCATTAGAAACCAGCACTTGTCTCTCTAATGAGAAAAGTCACATACTCTATCTACAAAGCGACATCATTTACAAATCAGGCACTAGACCTTAATTGCAGGTTTTCTTCCTAACAGAGATATTCTGTTACAGAGATATTTTACCTGCTTAGTGCTGTAGTCTTTAATCATTTGTTAGACTTCAAACATTTTTATGTCAGATCGGTACAAAATATACACTGCTAGAATATTTGAGTAAAAATTGTTTGGACTTTTTTGTTATTGATTAAAACTGGCCAACAAATCATTAAATCCTTCTACCAAACACAGTACAACATATTTGCATATGTGATTTCAAAAGCATATTCTCCTCCTATATTCAGACCTTCCTTTATTACAGTACACTTCAGGAAAAGTTTGACTATGACCTCAAAATGTAGTGTTGGTTTTTCCCCACAAAGAAATTTATTCGAGAAATCTTTCCTAAAATTTTAAAGTCTCAAAATAAAAACATATGATAAAAATCTATTATACATTACAATGTGTGAGACCAATTTAGAATATGAATCAGATTAATTTAAGTTAACGCATTAAAGACAGTAACTTCAAGCATCCATGCTCTCATAGTAAAACTGTGGGGTTGTAAAGACACCATTTTGGCAAAAATGTTTACTTGTAAGATGACCATTAAATAAGTTCTATATGCACCAAATGTTAGCTTTAAATAAAGGTGAAAAATGTTAAAGCTATATTTAGAACTCAGAGGTTTTGTTTAGTAGTTAAACTAGTTTAATACCTTATAATAATTTGGTCAATAAGACTGAAACAAGAAGGTTTTGCTTATCAGTTGTGGACTTTTTCATTAATAGAACTTATCTAGAATCTATAGAAGTTCATAGAACGTCGCTAGGAACAATTTTTAAAGTCTGTACAAATTCTCAATAGCTTGAATCACTGAAAGTTCTCAGAGATCAATGTCTTTTCCAATGGTCATAAATTAACTTGGTAGATTAGAAAGTGTTCCAAGCTATTATTTTAAAAAAATTAAATACACAAAACAAAACCTTCTTTGCCTACAACAGTTACTAGTCCAACACTACTTCATCTAGTAAACCACTCAGATTTTTAAAGAGATTCCATACATGCAGAACTTCCTAAAGGAGTGATAATGTCATCTGGCTTACTCTTTCCAGGAAAATGCACTTCCTCTTAAAATATACTTAGAAGACACAACTGATATCATAACTCTGGATCCTCAAATACAAGTCATACAGTTATCCAGGTCTACAAAATGGCTTTAAAATGCATACTGTAAAAGATCACTAGAACTGATGTGGTACTCTAAAGGATTCAGCAGCTTATGTCACACGTACTTTGTGTTTAGAAACTTTTGTGTTACAAACTCTGTACTGTATCAAACAAATTTTCAATAGGAGTTTATGACAGGAATTGAAGACTACAGGTCTGATTCCTACTTACAATCCTATATGCAGTATCCTTTACTGGTTGATGAAGAATAACACTAGTTATTCAAGTGACATATTTAAAATAGATGGCATATACCAGCCATTTCTAAGCTTCTGTTAGCTTTCAGATCCCCATCATTTAAGTTAAAGTAGAAAAAAAGGCTTATGGTGAAAGTGAAGTCATTAGCAAAACAGAAACAAAAAGATGTGCATGTTTCTGTAGTGTTAATAGAAAACCTGTCTGCTAATGAAATGATACGATTTAAAAAACAAGTTACTGGAAAACTTGATGTTTTCTTGCAAAACTCTAAGTTTTTACTGGAAAACTTGATGTTTTCTTGCAAAATAAGTTTCAATAGCATTCTACACAACTGTACAACTCATTTCCAAGGAAGGTGTAGGTAACATATGAACACTAAATAGTAAGGCTGCAGTCCTATGCATCCTTGACATTTAAGTCCCACTGGTCTCTGTGGAACTTACAGAATGAGGCTGCAAGTGAACTGGATGACAGCAAACTAGATTTGCTTGGTATATGAAACAAAAAGTAAGTACAATTGATGAAGTTCCTCTCAAAATGCAGTCCATCCTTCGGACTACCTGCTATTTGAGACCAATTTAGATTTCAATCTAGGTACCATAAGAGCAAATGACTTTAATGAAAATGTAATTGTGCATGAGAAGCACATGATCTGATAGCAATTATTTTTAAAGTAGCATTATACTCTCCAGTAGCATTTCAACAAACATGTAGACTACAAATAAACAAAGTTTCATATCACAAAACACAACAAAAGTTATCATGGATATCTTCCAGAGGTTGACTCCAACAAAACAAAATAACTTTGTACCAATCAACAAACATGAGACACATCTATAACAAGTTTGTTTTCATTCTGAATCACATTTATCAAAACCAAATCCAGGGATGCCGCCTGTAACTATAAATGGGCACCCCAGCTGTTTAAATACTCCAAGACTGGAAGACTAAAGGTAAGCGGCTTACTGTGCTGTACTCAGACCCTTTATTAAAAAAAACAGTTTTAAAATAGATTATCAGTTAAAATGCAAACCTATAAGACTAAAGATATTCAAACAGAAAGAGTCCACACTTATCCATGCCTACAAAGCTAGTTTAAATTTATACTACAAGAGCTACTAGACTTCACACATTGCATTATGGAATTCAGAACTAACAGGACAACTGTACAGTTTAATATTAATCAGCACTAAACTACTTTCATTTCTGCTTACATCCCATTCCAAAAATCAATTTCTAGGCATAAAACTTTAATTAAATTGCAAAGAACACACTCTAAACGAGTTGTTAAACATACCCCCCCCCAAGAAGGCTTGAGTTCAAAGATTTAATATCTCAGGCAAATAGGAAAAACCCATGAATATTTACACTTAGCAGCTCCATTTACTTTAGGCAACACCACTTAGTGTGTGGAAACTCACTTGCCTTCATCTTCACATTTTTACCAATGCAAGACCAATGGTTTGATTTAGCTTGAGATTCTGCATAGGTGAGGACAGAGAGAAGAAAAGAGGAGCTGTCTCTTTAAGATACACAGCTCTGTCGCTGATCCCACGTGGAAACCAACATCACCAGCACTTTCTTACCAACTTCAATGTGATGCAAGACAAGGCATCATTTTTATAAATAAAATGAGAACACTGGAGATTATGTATGAAAATCACACAAGTGGAATAACCACTCCAGGGAAAGTCACCAGTTCTCCCCCAGAACTGGTGACCTCATGATGGTACACATTAAAAAAAAAAAATCTCTATGGCACGTTACCTCAAGCCCATGCTATTCTTAAAGAATGTACTTCATAGTCAGAAAACAGAAATAACCTTGGGATCCTTAGGCAGCAAAGGCACCAACCGGAAGATTTACTCTTTTGCTTTACACATCCGAATGAGAATCGGGGAAAGGCAATGCATAGGTATTGCATTTCCCGCCACCTCCCCCTTCTTCTATCCGACCCTCCCCACACACACACACAAACAAAAGACATGAAAGTAAGGTACCAAGCGGCAAATGCAGCATTTGTCTTCTTTGCAATTGCTCCACGTTGTCCCAAAGTTGTGTATCTCGTGCATTCCCACCTCCCGCCACCATTCAAGGGAGAAGGGGGGGGGGTCACGTTCTCGCATTGTCGGGAACGAGCTGTAAAAGGGCTTTTGCCTTTCCAAAGTAGTCATCAACAACAAAAATAGGCATCAATATTAACTCCTTGCTCTCTGAGAGCTTAAAACCCGACATAAGAAGACGCGAGGCTGAGCCTGATCTCCTAGGAAGAAACTGGAGATCGTATTTTATTTTGGGCAATTTTGGAGAATTTTTTGGCTATTTTTTATTTTGTTATATGTCTCAGTTCTCCCTCCATTTTGGTTGTTTATGATACTGACAACAAGCTGTCCCTGCTCTCTCTCCGGATCTCTCCTGCTTTCAGTTAACGAACCCCCCCCCCGCCTCTCCCCAATGCAACCCACCCTCCAATCCTGCTTGCTTTCATGTTCTGAAACCCACACAAGAAGAGAAGAGAAAGCCTCACGGGCCGGTCGGAGCTAGAAAAGCAGGCAATTTCGTTTCTTTATAGGGTGGGGAAGAAAGGGGGGGAAACTTTTGTCCAATAAAAAGAGAGAGGAGAAGGGCGCTGCATGCCCCAAAGTGACTCCAGATCCCCCTCAAGCTTTAGGCAAGGGGGTCCCTGGCGCCCACTCCAGAGAGTGCAACCCCCCCGGAACGTTTTTGGGCAAAATGTGGCCGGTTTGACGCTTCGGGTGAATTTATATTAATTTTCTCTCATTTTTGGGCACCACGGGCTCTAATGTCTTCCGCTCCCTTCTGGCTGCTACCGCTGCTGTCACTATACTCACAGCTCAGACTCTGGAGCTGAGCGAAGGAGGGGGGGGAGGAAAGAGAGACACACACCGAGAGCAGAAGGTGGGAAGGGGGCAAAGCCAGAAACTTTTCTCCAAGTTACATCCGAAGCCCCCCATCCACTAAGCGAGAGACGAGGGGGGAGCTCGCGAGAGGAGACCCTCTCCGTACAGCCCTCTCAAGAAGACCAGAAGGAAGGGGGGGGGGGAGAGAGAAGAGAGGGAAACTCCAGTCCAAGAGCTGAGAAAAAGTGAGCCTTATTCTTTGGGCGCTCTCTCACTTCGCGCTTTGGAACCCACACAAGAAGGACGGCAGAGCCCCGAGGTGCGAGGGACGGAGATGGAGCCGCACAAACTTTTTCCTCGCGGCCGCCGCCGCGCCGCTCTCTTCGGTCCCCCCTCCTTCCCCTCCTCCTCCCCCTTCAGAATTTAAATAACCCTAATATTTTGAACCCCGGCTCCTGACCCCCAAATCCATTGCAAACTCACCGCGGGAGCCTCAGCATCCCCTCGGCGCCCTCTTCCCGCCTTTTACAGGGTTCTCCGATTTTTCTGTAATTTTTTCCCCATATTTCGGGCTGGACGCGGCGGGCCTGGAAATTGTTTGCTTTCCCCTCTTTCCAGCAGCCATTGTAGTGTATGCGCTGCGGTGCAGCTCAGCCTGCCGCACACGCCGCGCCCACACCGCCAGCCGCCCACACGCGCCGCGGGTTGGACACCTCCCCCTGTCACTCAGCTCTCGAGCCTCACCCAGACGGCGGCGCCTCTGGCCCTGGCGCCTGGTCGGGTTGGTCGGAGGAAACGCCGCTCGAGAGAGGCGGAGGTGGAACCCGGCGCGGATAGGCGAGCATAGCGCGCCCTCGCGACTGTCACTCCAAGAGCTCGGGCAGAATTGATTGGGCACAGGCCTTGTCCGTTTCTCTCGAGTCGCGGAGCCCATAACTGGGGTAGGCTGCGCCGCTTATAAGGTAGCTGCCCAAGCCGTTGACGTCTTTCGAATTGGAGGCTAGCGCTCAGTCCGTGCGCGAGCTGGGTTCGTAGCTGCGGAGGTGAGCTGCGCCTCCCGCGGAGTCGTACCTGGGAGCTGTTTTGCGCGCATGGAGCCGTTTTAGCGGTAGTGCGCTGACTTAGCTAGGGTCACCAGCCCCCGGCGCCTCCTGAGTGACGGGAAAACTACCCAGGCTGATTCCCTCCTCCCCAGTGACCGGCTCTTTTCGTGGATCATGCGGGGCGGGAACGCGCTTAGTCGGCGTCTCGAGGGGGATCCGAGAGCAGAGGTGAGGTCGGAGGGGCGCGGTAGGTAGGCCCAGCCATCGCGGGTACGCTGTCTGCCTGGAGGAGCCTTCGCTGGGTTAGAGAAGCAGCCGGTTTGGTAGAAGTGGTGGGCCTGCGAGGCGCCGGTGGGTGGTGAAGTATGTCGTCCGTGGCTCCTCTCCTGCCGCCCGCCCGTCAGGGCTTCCTTCTCTTCCTCCTTTTGCCCTTCCCGGCTGGGTGTCCTTCGCCGTGGCTTTGCAAGAGGGGGGTCCCTGGCATCTTTAGGGCGAAAGAGAACTCGGGTAAGCGAGTACTGAGAGAGAGACCTTTTCCTGCCTGCCTTCCAGGGACACAACAGTGCTGAGCTGGACGGATCAAGGGTCTGACTCGACGTGAGGCAGCTTCACCTGCATGTGGGGGCAAGAAGGAGGATGTGACCCCCAACTTTGCTTTCCTTGCGCGAGTGCTCAGTGCGTGGGGGCTTCACGCTAGTTGCAGTACTTTTAGAAGACGCTTGGATCTGTAGGGGGCTTTGGATTGAAATTGGGGAGGGGAGGGGGCGTTTAGAGCCCAAGTCGCAAGCGGGATCCTCCCTCCTCATTCCTGTTGCTTAAACGCCACCTTATACCTTCAAGCTGTTTTAGTGAGTTATTATGGGGAATGCAGCCTCTCCGCCATTTGGAGGGGCTTTTGGCCTCCCAGTGGAGTTCCCAAGAGTTTCTGCTTGGCCATTGCTGGCTTAGATGATCCTCTGGTCCAAGGGGGCTGTCTTTATGGAATATCACGTGGTCGCAACTAATTAAATGCTGCATGCAGCAAGGTTAACATGAAAATTTAACGAAGGTAGAGGCTGCCTGCCTGCTGCAAGTTTGGAGCGCCTCCTGTCAATATAAGTAATTCTTTCTTGGGGCTCTGTGTGTCTTTTCACTTCCAGGAAACAAATGGTTGTGTGTTGATGTTCTCCCTTTTCACCTGGCATTTAGCTGTTCCGTCAAAAGTTAAGACAGACCCCTCTAAACTACAAATATCTATTGGGGTGTTACCAAGTTTGGAAACCTAAAAACAGGGATAGTTATATTTTGGTAGTTGAGTTGGATCCAGCCAGCTTTCCCTCTCAGTGTCACATACTTCATCTCCTTTCTGCAGTCCCTGTCCCACCTGGCTTTTGACCATTCAGATCTACAGTCCCCAGCAAAGCCTTTTAGGTGACCAAAGGGGCCCCCTTCCTCACTTTTACAGCAGGTGAAAAGCTGGTTGGATCCAAACTCATATATTTAAGATTTTCTACCCAATTATGAAAGATGCAGACTTTCAGTGTGGACTAATAAGAAAATAAACCCTTGGGGCGGTTACTGTCAGAATCTACATCAGGAAGAATGAGATAAGTAGGTGACTAACGCCCTACTACTTTGTGTGGAAAACCACAATTTATCACTACCAAAATACATGGATCCCAAGTTATTTGTAAATGGTGCTTGTGTGTGACACACAGTGACATCTCACCATTTCCCTTGGTGGGCAATGAAACTCTTTATTTTCTTCGCACTACTCAAATGCTTTCTATCACTAAAATGTTTTTCTCAGGCTACATGACTAGCCTTTTTCCCTTTTACATTTTGAGAGCAGGCGAATGCAGTGGTATTCCCTTGGGTGAAGGCTTCCATGTGGAAGCAGCCTAAACTGTCATGTCAGAGTTTACTTACTGCACAAAAACAGCCTTGTAAATTTCAAAGCTTCTGCCATTGCTGACATACTTAATTACTGCCAAAAACATTTTCACAGGTGAAGGCAGGAGGAAATATTCTGGTAGGTCTAAATAGAAAAAAACAGCCTGGGGCCAGTGGCTGAAAGAAAACTTGTTGTCTGCACATTAGTATTAATGGGTATGTTAAGAAATCAAATTTTAGCATGGTTAAGCACTCTAGACAAGTGTTTGGATTTGATCCCATGTTCGTAGACTTAGACATTTCACTAAATAAAACCATTGCTCTAAAGGGAATATTGAGATTTGGTAATGAGCCATGTACAGTCTTTAATTTAAAAATTGCTATCAAAATATTAAGGTCTCCTTAGATATGAGACTTGCATTGCAATCCTAAGCATAGTTATGCTATTTTAAACCCATTGATTTCTCTGAATGTAGAAGTGTGTAAATCTGCTTTGGACTGTACTATAGATCCAGTAATACTGAACAAAGCTTGATCCATACTGTTGCTACAGCTGTGTGGTTACTTGAATGGCATAAAATTAAGTATTGTAGTTTCTTACTAATATCTGTATTTTAAATCATTTAGCTTTTTGCAGACATTTTTTATGAACAGTATAAAGCAAATAGAGGAATATACATATGGATGATATTCTGAAATGAGCCAGAGAATGCTAGGTTCTTGGATGTGGAAATACAGTGTGCCAGCATCTAGGAATCTGAAATTCTTCTAATCCTACTTTAGCTCTAGTGTATTAAAATGGCTTGTGTTTTGTATTACACGTGAACAGTCTTCTCTTCTGAAGACTGCCTTGGACTGGTTGTACATCTTAAGGAAATTGCAAGTCTACCATTTATCTGACCCTGATCCCATTGCTGCCAGTGTACTTAGAAGGCTGCCTTCTTCCTGCTGTCAGATCGCAGAGTTTCTTGTTTTGAGAAGAACTGATATTTCCCGAAGAACTCATCTGTTGTTGCCCCTTTACAACTGTGTAGCTTGCACCCAGAAAGAGAAGCAAAAGGGTTACATGTAAGTAACTATTAAAATTTACACGAATAGGTCTATCATATGGAAAAGGGAAGAGAGAACCTTCAATTTAACACTTAACAACTAAGTCCTAGTCAGCAGAACAATTTTAGTTCTCAATGCTGATGTATCCGTTCCTTACTGGCTAGTGCTCTCAGGTTATCTGAAAGCTAGGTGAATGCAAGCTCTCAGAACAAGGGAAAACTGATTATATTCTCGTTATTATAAAACTCAGAGGCCCCCAGATAGGCACAAGAAGGGCTTGGCTTCTAAAGCTCATGAACTCCCTGGAGTACCTGCACTGATTCCAGTTTTTAAAATGGTAATCTAGAATTTTTACTAACATGAGTAGGGTGTCTAAAATGCTTAAAACTGTGGTTTAAAATATTTAACTAAAATTCCAGAAGAGAAACTATTTCACAAGAGGTTTCCTCAGTTTTTCTTAAAATGTTAATTCTTGGGGGGGAAATGACAGGAGTGTTTTCCTTCCTTAATTTTCCCGTCTTTCATATTCTTGTGTGAGAGTGATATACCTGGAATCAGTAGCCCAAATAGTTAATCTCGGTTATCCAGTGTGTTAGATATCCAATGTGGTGAAGTGGCGTACTCCCCAGCATCTGTCTCATTAATGAAAACTCTTAAATTAAGAAGTATGTGATAATATTAATTGCAAAAATTTCTTAGTAGAGCTGAAGACGCAGCTTTATAAACATTCACTACTTTTAACATCATATTTCAGTAGGAAAAGAACTTGTTAAATTCTAACCAAGATGGATTGTGTTTTTTAGGAAACTATCAGCCACCTTCATTTAGTAGCTGTGTTTATTTAAAAAACCCCAAAACTTCATGCCCAGAAAACAGCAACGACTTCTAGATGATGATACCAATCCCTGTTTATTGGTAAGAAACTGAACTTTAATATATTACTGATTATGACATTTCAGCTTATTTTTCTATATTTAATTAATTTGTTTTCTCTTTGAAACAAATGTGTCTGCAATGTTCACATGATGTATTACCAAAAGATAGCTAATGGGATTTCTTTTGAATCTATAGCTTAATGCTTTCAGCTAACTTTACCCTGGTAAGTGTTTTGGAGTCTCATCTCAGTAAGCCTTTCATGTGCAGCCTAAACCCAGGATGTTTACTTAGACACATATCCCAGTGAGCGTAGCACAATATGCTTTTTGCTATGTGTTCTTGGGTTTGCCATCTTGGTATTCAGCAGTATTTCACTCCGTGTGTACATCATTTCTGAAAACTGGTTGTGAAAATTTTAAGTATGATTGTGAAATAAAATTAGATCTTTGGTCCCTGTTGGCTCTTTAACTGTAATTTATTTTCATATTGAAGGAAACAGATGCTTCTAGAAAGTGTATGGATGACAATAAGTACAATAGAGATATGTGTACTGTCCATTTTTTAAGATACAGAAACTGCAGAAAATTTTGGGTAAGTATGCTTGGGAAACGTTCTCTATTAATTGCACTGTGATATTCTTGCATATGTGTAGTGTTCATATCTGAATGTTCATGATCGTTCCATAAAATGGCTATATTTTGAGACTACATTTAACAATGAAAAATATTCTACTTAAATTGAAAGTGTGTCAGTTACAGTATGTGTTAGAGATAGCATATTACAGCATAGAAAAATGTTTTCTTGCCCAGTGCTTAGCAGTGTGATCTTAAATTGAAAACTAAGCAGATCAGTTTTTAAAACTAACATCATCATCTTTAATATATATCAACACGCTATTTAAACCAAGTATAGGTGCATATTTTTGCCAGGTGTGCAGACGAGATTCTTTTCAGTGGGATCGTGGAACTTATTGAGTTGGTTTAGTCATAACATATAACCATGGTCTAATTAAACTAATGATAACTAATTCATCATCTGAACTTTAGGGTTCCGACCAGAATCTGAAGTTTGAGGATGAAGTTAGTTTATTAACTATGGTCACCACGGTTTTGTATTACATATAGCATCTTGGCTTAATCCTTGTTTGTTTCCCATCAGCGCTTCATGCTCACCTCACCAACTGAGTTGCATGGAAAGAGCAGCTCACAATGAAACCACTCTTACCTCACTCTCACTAGAATTAAGCCTGTCCCTGCCTTCAGTTCCCAGTTTATCTAATAATATACCCCTCTCTTCATCCCAGCTCTCTGAAATACACAACTTGGCAAGCCTCTTCCAGGCATTTGTAAGGAAAAAAAGAAATTCCTGTGGTACCCTGGCTATCTTGAATGCCTGTGTTCCAGCAACAGGGCATTTTATATAAGTGTCCTGTTTGTACTCTAGGTATATGGCAGGCACACTGTGGTTCATAGAGGCAGAAACATGCCAGGGCAAATGAGTAAGACTGAGGGATGAGAGCCAATATAAGTGTCCTGTTTGTACTCTAGGTATGTGGCAGGCACACTGTGGTTCATAGAGCAGTCTGCTGCAAGCCTAGTATTTACCTTAGAGCAGAGATGAGATAGTTGGGATGAGTTTTTTTAGTTGTCATGGTTTGCACTGAAATTGGCAGTGAGAGTTTATTTTCTTGGGGGTTGGGTGAAGAAAATGTTAGTATGAAAGCCTTGCCAATTCTTGGCTGAGCTCTGAATGGGGTGGGAGGTGCAACTTGGCAGCTGACTGCCATTCTGCGAATGGACTTGAATTTTCACATCCTTCTGCTGTCACTGGTAAGCAAGTTGGTGATATCGTATAGCTTTTCCATCCGTTAGCCACATTCCCAAGATAGTGAGTGCATGTATGATCCATGTACAGCTGATATTTCTTCATACATATACTGAATAATTCTCATGTTCAACATGTGTACAGCTGAATGCATGATTTAAACCCCCTATTCAGGTACTTGTCATTGGTTTCATTAGTAAAGTGAGTGTGTGTTCTTTCTTGCGGATTGACCTGCACGTGTACATTCACTGTAACATGTGAACAGGGTTCATGCGGCATGCTAGGATAGCAACTCAGTCTCGAGCAGGGAGGCAGAAGAAATAGTGACAATGTTGAAGCAAAGATTTTCACTGATCATCCGTCTACAAGTTGATCCATGGTATCACTAACCACAGTTGAAATCAAGCATGATTTTGTGCTATGCCTGAAACAGCCCAGTGCAGATCAGGGGTTGGCTAGTGAAGCCTGCCAGTGTGTGAGTTTTTGCAGATAATATAAGTTAAAGCTCTACCGGAGTAGAGAGAGCAAGGAATAGCTAAACAGTGCAGTAACACATTCTTTATTTCCCAGGTTAGCCCAGAAAGGAACTTTTCAGGCTGATAGCCTTATGAAAGCTAAAATTGAGCCCCCTAGACACCATTGCATCTCAGACTCCTCTCCTCAAAATAGAAGACAGAAAAGTCAAATGATGGTTCTCTGTGGGTATTTCTGGGACTGCAATCACTTTCTGGTTCAAATGTGCAGGCTGCCAGTTGGCCATTGCTAACTGGAGATCATGAGCAGCCTACTTGATATTCATTCTGTTTTTAATTCTTTATATTTTTCTAATTTAACCAGCTTATTTCAGTCTATCCTTGGCATCTTCCTGGCAAGATGCTTCAATTATGAATTAGCTCAAGCATTGCAACTTCTTGTTGTTGTTGTTTAGCAAAGAGATTTTCTTCCTGCTAGTAAATACATTCTGGGAGTCTGATACTTAAAACATTTTAAAATGTATTTGCTAAAAATGGAATTGATTTAACTTGGTATTAACATACAAGTTCTTGTATTCCTAGAACAGTATCGTGATACAGAGAAGACAGGATGGAATAGAACCAGCTATGCCTACAGCAAAAGAAAGAAAAAACGTCCTGGAATCAATGGAAAGACTACCCTATTAATAGAGCAGTGTTACTGGTTTAAGATGTATGGAGGCTTTACTGTAAATAAGGTGTTTTGGAAAGAATGTTGAAAACTGCCATTATAGAGCGACAAGCTGTTGTCTTGTTAAATTCTCCTATGTACCATTCTTCTGAACTACAATGGCCCCGGTCACACGGCAAAGTTGCCGCGGGAAAGGCACGGAAGGTGGGTGGATTATCCGGGCGCTATCACACCCCAACATCTGGGAAGTGGAGCGCACCCGTGGCTTACCGCCAACAATGCGCATTTAAAAACTAGTACCTCCAAGGTACTAGTAAACGTTTGCCACGGGCTGCCTCCAGACGCCCGTGGTGTGATCGTGCCGGTTATTCCCCTCCGGTCCCTCGTTTACCCTCCGGTGCTGAGGGAAGGACTCATGGTGTGCCACCAGCGCATCTGATCGCATTATCACGGATCAAACTGCGCCGGGCAATTAGCCACACCTCCCCCCCGCACGATATCCGGCCCGTGTGACCGGGGCCAATGTAGGTTACTCCCATCTACAAGCTGTTTATATCCCAACTAAAGCAGAAATGTGAAGTTTTGGTTCTATCAAAATGAAGAGCTTTGTTGCATGTAGCAGAAATTCATTAATAAATTCTGACCTTTTATAACAATGCTTTTTTATTCTTAGTGATGGAAAGATGTTAGCAATTTTTACATCACATACTCCCATCACCAATGGCTGTAGGCCAGAACAAAGTTTAGCTGCAATCCTTTGCAGGAATTCTGTTGAAAGCAATGGCCTTGGGCCTGAATAACCATACCATTGAACATTCACATGCACACCCATGAAGCTAGGCCCTCACCTGGGCAATAGGCACGTAAGCCATGAGAATTACTTGGCAAACGGTATAGGTAAACAAATAGCCCTTTTCTGTATATTATCCGTGGCCTAGTTGTGAGTTCAGTTCAGAAGACCTTTGAAAGGAAGGAAGATAGCTGCTGCAGTACTACACTGCACACAATATTGGAGGCTTTTGAGTAGTGCTATAGTATCCTAGTTTCCCTGCTCCCATGATCCCTAGAATAACTTTGGAGGGGGTTGAATCCAATCCCATCTTTTGATTTTGTTTTGCTCTTCGCACACAAGTGGCACAAAGCACAAATACTCCCTTTTGTACAAACACCTGTATATGGATCCAGCACTGTGTGTTACAGCCTCTGTTAGAGTAGGGGAGAAAGCCACTACAGTCAAACTGGGTTTCCTGGTACCTGCCCAGTGTTTAGTTTATACCTGCAGTCTGGATTAGAGTATCTGCAGAAGTTCTGAAATAATGGTATATCAGCTGCCCTTATAAGAACTCTACAACATAGCTGTCCTCTAACAGAGCCGGGGCTTTTTTGGCCCTAGCTCTGATTTGGTGGAACTCTGCCAAATAACATCAGGGCCCTGTGGGATTTAAGGCAATTCTGCAGGGCCTGCAAGGTGGATCATTTGTTCTGCCAGGCTTTTGATTGAGTGCAAACCAAGAGGAGAGATCATGGGATGGAGGTAAGGATGAGCAAAACAACGAGATATTATGCCAAAAGAAATATCTGCAGACTCATACGCTCTTATCCAATATTCAGTTTATTGGAGCTGATCAATTCCTCAGGAATCCCGAAAAAAAATGGGTCCAATAAATTTGAATTTTACACATTCACAACTTTGTCAGAGTGTGTAGTGTTGAAATTTCAATATCTTATATGGTGGTTTCCTAGTTAACATAAGAACCCAGCTGGAAAAGACAATGGTCCATCTAGTCTAACATCTTGTTTCAGATAGGGGCCATTGAATTTCCCTGGAGAGCCAACAAGCAGAACATAGAGGCCCAAACTCTCCGTTTATGTTGCCTTCTAGCACTAGATTTATTGCCTTAATATAGAGGTTCACCTTGCAAACCATGGCTAGTGGTGTGCAAAAAAAAAAATCTGTAAAATTCAGATTTATTGAACCCAATTTTTTTTTTGAGAAACCCGTGCCAAGGTGCCCAAAACCCCAAAACCAACAGAACTTTGTTCAAACCAGAGAATCTCTGCTGCAGCATAGACTGAGGGAACATGTTTGTGCATTGCCAATACCAGCCAGGCCCAGCAGCAGAACCAGAGCAATCTGCCCCCCCACACAACCTGTGCCAAGGTGCCAGCTGCCAGTCAGTGCCCAAAACCAACAGAACTTGGTTCAAACCAGAGAATCTCTTCAGACTGCAGCAGCAGCCTACAGACTGAGGGAGCATCGTGCATTGCCAATGCCAGCCAGGCCCAGCGGCAGAACTAGTCCAGAGCAATCTCCCCCCCCCCACAATCTGTGCCAATGTGCCAGGCAGTGCCCAAAAAAACCCCAAACCAACAGAAGCAGACAATCTCTCCCTCTGCAGCACCAGCAGCCTACATAGGGAGCATGTTTGCATTGGCAGCCATGCTCAGCAGCAGAACCAGAGCAATCTCCCCCCCCCCACAATCTGTGCCAATGTGCCAGGCAGTGCCCAAAAAACCCCCAAAACCAACAGAACCAGTCTTTCCCTCTGCAGTAGCAGCGGCCTAGGGAGCATGTTTGCATTGCCAGCCATGCCCACTAGCAGCAGAAGAACCAGAGCAATCCCCCCACCCAACAACCTCTGCGCCAGTCACTGCCCAACCCCAAATGTTACTGGACTCAGGTCAAACAACAAGAAGCCCTGCCCACTAATGTCTCAGAAAGTGAGATGGAGGGGGTAGGGTCTATCTGTCCAGTGAACCTCCTGTCTCGCAGCAGTACACCAACACCTGCCATCACTGCCTGCCTCGGTGGAGGAGGCTTAGCCTAGGTGTGGCAGCCGCCATTCATCACAGGCTCTCCCTCCCTTATCCCACCACGCCTCTGCAGAAAAAGAAAGTTATATTTTTCAATAACCAATGTTACCTCTAAGCTGAGTTAGTGTGAGCCAGCTCACAGTTTTCTAGTCCACCGGCTCACAACTTTTCATCTTAGGCAGGAAGGATGCCTCCGGAGCAAACTTACTTATGCAGTAGCCAAATCACTCACTCCAGTAGCTCACAAGATTTTCAGCTCACAAGATTCCACAGCTTAGACTCCAGGGACCATTGCAATGCACACAACATGTATTTACAGTATGGTGCTCCTGTGTGTGGCGCTGCTGGTTTCTGGCTGGCCTCTACCCTACTCTACCATTGGAGAACAATTAGTGTGATGCTGTTTTATTATTTTCAGCATGCAATTTTGGTTTGGGGTGGCTGCTGGCCGTGGAACTTAGGTGTATACACGCACCACCCTCAACATCACCCTGCACTGCACGGTAACCACAGGGTCTGTTGAGGTATTTCTGCTGCAGGTGGGATGGATGGAAGTGGGGAGATTGGTGGGGCATTTCTGTGCCAATCAAAATGGTCATGGCCCTGGCTGCTACTTTGCCCTAGCATCTAGTTTTAATCATGG